GCGAAGCATGCAAGCTACTTTTGGAGATACACTGAGGAAGGGGTGGGTGTACCAGAGCAGCGTGTCCCTCTTTGCCAGTGCTGCCTTGGCACGGAAAAAAAGATTGCTCAGAAGACACATGATTTGATTGGCTAGACTGAAAGACAAATATTATAAACAGAAAACCTCACCGAAAAGTTACAAAAACTGAAATCAAAATTCTTGTTAATCCTGGGTTAGCTTAATCGAGCTTTGAACAACCCGGCCCAGAAGTTTAATTTTAGAACTGGTCTATGAAAGAAATTTTTAGTAGAATCCTTCACGATTGAACACATTAATTTTATAGAATTCTACCCCTGTTGAAATCCCCTTTGTTAAAATCTGTTAAGATCTGAAAAGGTGCTGTAATTGCACAATGTTGGTTAAAATTCAACCAGTGGAAAACAGCGTTAAATTACGGCTGAAAATATACAATTGAGTTGTAAAGAAACAATGAACTCGAGTTCATTATTTTTGTTAATAAGAAATAGAGATGAAGATATATATTTGACATATTTGTGTATTTTCAAACCTCTTTTGGTGGAGGTGGTGTGTGAGGTTTTGATGGCGAGTTAGCCGACGAAGTGGGGAGGGGAGGGGAAGTGTTTCGGTGTTAGTCACCAGTGCCTTTGTTTGTTAACGGCTGTCGCCTGGAGATATTGATTCTAGAAGGAAAATGGCGCTCCGGATTCTTCGTAAACTTCAAAAAAACTGCCGTAAGTTCTCAATGATATGTTTCAAGGATAACGCTTTGAAGACTCTCATTAGTTTTCGTTGTACTTTTTCAGATTTGTGGCCGTCTTTGCATCTCCAAACCCATACACACCAGCATCTTGTCAGCCACGAGAAGTTAGTCTTATGTAACATCAGTAGTTGGTGTAGACATATGAGTAATGGGGTGGCTCAAGAAAAAGTCGAAAGGTAACCTTTAGAAAGAGTGTTTAGTATTAACGTAACTTAATTGCCTCGAAGCTTTGGAACCGCCAAGCGTTGGACTTGAACAATACAGTGGACTCTCGCCTAATGTACACCCCGCTTTTGTGACACCCCGGCCGAAATTAGACAGAAATGTATGGAAACAACTCCCGCTGCAAACTTAAGCTTACTGTGTTATTGTTCTTCTCCCGGTACCACGGGCAACGTGGACTATTGAATGATAAATTATTCTGCAGTCTTGGAATGTTAACTAGGTTGTACATTATTTGTATGATAATGGAATCGAAGTAAATGTGTACTACAATAACAAATTAAAAGGAACTGGAAATCTTAAGAGTATAGCAGTACATGACACTTCATAACCAAAGACTGGGTCATTACTTTTCATTACAAGCTGCTATTGCAGACTCTCATTATTGTGGACACCAAATAATGGTCCCAAGGGTGTCTGCTATATAAATGAGTGTTGACTGTAGCATGGTTGACTATGGTGTTCATATCAATTACCTTACATGACGATGGAAATACTCATGGAAAAGAAACTGTTTTTTCTCATATTACGATCAGCTTTGCCTAGACTGTAAGCAGTCTCTCTTTTACTTGCAAAAAAGCTGCAAGCCACAAGTAGCACAAGCATCGGAAGACAAGTGAAAAGAGAGACTGCAATGGTTTCATACAGCATTTCTGATTTTACTTTGACAGGTTGTGTCAATAACACCTTTGCCATTCACCCATTTTCAAATACAACACTCCAGTGTCAAAGTTTTTCCGCGAATCAATTGTAGCTATATCTGGTGAACAAAGGTAAACATGGTATTCGAGATAAGAAGCAACATTGCTTGCAACAGTTTTCATCGGAGCTGGCATCACTCAAATGCCAGTAACCAACTTGTTCACAAAATCTATCCTTACAGGGCAAATGGAGAGCTTAAAACATATGTTGTAATAGTGGAGCTCTGGGGGCTCAGAGGGCCCCATACCCATATAGGAAAGAAAAGGAAACCCATGAATTGATTTTCTCATGGTTATGGACAATGTACAAAAAGGCCAAACAATGTACAGAAAACCTCACCACATAGTTAGGAAGACATCTTTATTTAAAAGTAAAAATTTGAAGGTAAAATTTTCAGGGTAGTCCCTTCATGGAGCTTACAAAGTATATCTGGTATCAATATTTAGTGAAAAAACTCAAATCAAAATTCCCATTTATCCTGGGTTAGCTTAATCAGGCTTTGAACAACCCAGCCCAGGAGCTCCACGTTTAGGCTTGGCTAAATCTCTGTATTAGAAATGGGCGAAAGCAAACTGCATGGTCTAAAGCTGACAACAAATTGTAGAGGTGTCATACTCTTCAAAGTGCAGCAAATTACAGCTGAAACCAGATCATGACCTCTACTGCTTCATATTGCTCGGTCAAACGGCTCAACTCTACTTTAAAGTCCTCCCCTTCAAAACCTAGTGTGGAGCATAAAACTAATAAAAATGTTGAGAGATCGAAATTCAAAATAGAACAGCAAATGTACAAAGGTCAAAAACCACAGGAGTCAAACAGTAGGAGGCCAACTTTACAACAGAGTTTGACATGTGCTGCTTGTCACTTGTTAAGGTTACTGACAGATGCACATCATGACTTGACATAGACTTCATATCCACTGACTCTTGAACAAAAATAAGGCCTGTTGTGCACAGGTTAATAGTTTGCATGTTACAAGTTCACATATTTGTTGTGTTTCAGTTCTGCTCAAGTTGACTCCAAGCCAAAAACTGGAATAATGCTCATAAACATGGGAGGTCCTGAAACCACTAATGAAGTCCATGACTTCCTGTTTCGACTTTTTTCTGATCGCGATCTTATGGTGTTGCCAGCTCAAAGGTTTGTTGCTTGAAGCCACTTTTAATTCCAGACAAAAATGGTGCTTACATCATGTTAAAATGGGTTCACATTAGATAATGTTCCTCTAGGTACATCTATACATCCTAGATTAATTTCTGTAGTTTAATCCAGTACTCAGACAAGTGATTTCTCAATGTAAACCATCGAGTTATGTAGTATATGTATATTTCCTATCAGTGTGTTTTGATTAAATTTGTTAATAGATTAATCAGATCTTATTCGATAGGGCAGTAAGTGTAAAACGCAGACTGCACACTGTAGTCCTTTACTGTAAATCAGTAAAGTTACTGCGATTAGCCTGAATAACCCTGTTTAACAGGGTTATTCAGGCTAATCACAGTGAAAGTCTGCACTCTGGTTAGCCTGAACATCACTCAGGTTAGCCTTCAGGAATAATGTTTCAGTTAGCCTGTTTACAGTTAGCTCTCTGTGATGGAATCGGTAACACGATTCAGTTAAAATGACTACAGTCTGCAGTCTGCATTTTACCCCTGGACTGCAGTCTTCATTTTACCCCCAGTCTGCAGTCTGTGTTACACTGACCATTTGATAGCCACTAAACTTTAAGTTGCTTCACTGATAAAAGCTTTCAAAGAAACTGATGGTATCAATGGTATCATATTTAACAATCCCTTATAAATTTATATGTTATATTGATAAGTTTCTATTTGGTTTAATGGCTTTAAAGGTTTTGGCCATTTGAATTAAAAGACTCTACACTGTAACTTGCAGCTAGCCTTACTTCCATGTTTCACCAAAATTGAAATGTGTAGGACAAGAAAAAATTTAATGAGAAGAATGGTCATGTCAAAAATACGTTCTTAAGATAGCAATATTTCAGCAATGAGTGCAGTGGATGAGTAAAAGAATTAAATAAATGTCAATATTTTGCAGCAAGTGGCATCATCAAGATTGTCAATGGGTGATGAATCTCAGAGACATGCCAATAGATCTTGCATCTGGCCTTTTTTCTTGTAAAATAATGTGTTACTTACGAATTTAAGGTACATGTAATTAGTAACATGCATTTTAACTTGTCATTTTGAAATTAATGAATAATTCACAGTAAGATGGCTGCATGGATTGCAAGAAGAAGAACTCCTAAAATTCAGGAACAGTACCAGAAGATTGGTGGAGGCTCTCCAATAAAAATGTGGACAGAAAAACAAGGGGAGGGGATGGTTAGGCTGCTGGATGACATGTGTCCTGACACAGGTACTCTGATTATAAATATTGCTTCAACCCCTCTCCCCCCTTCACCCGCTCCGATTTTACAGGCCAAAATGCAGTTAAATACAATTTAACAGAGTTAACAACAAGGAGTGCAAGTCTTGCCTTTGTGGTCAGCGGCGTTTAGATCTGCACATGCGCCAGGATTCCATGTGCTCTTGGGCCACCAGGTTTTCAAGTAGTTTTACACTGTCAGTGCTTACCTTGAGCATTTGAGTTCCAAATGCAGGGACTCTGCTCAGAGGTTGTTTCCCCTCCCCTGTCCCTCTGTTTCCTTTTCACTGTTTTATCAGTGTGACAGGTGCCTGATTTCTTCCTTCTGCATGGGGGCTCATGGCTAAGTTGCCAGGATTTGCCAGCCATGGGAGTGGTCTCCATCTAGGAACTGGCTGCCAATAGTGGAGGCTCCTGGATGCGTCAGGCACCCAATCTCCACTTCACGAGGCAGTTGCTAGCAGTTTTTTCCAACAAGGTTTGACTCTAGTCAGGTTCCATGTAGTAAGTTCACAGACCTTCTATTTTGTGTTGGGTTTGTCAAGATCACAAGCTTAGTGAAATATTAACCCAGTGTGTGAGATACACATACTAAAACATAACAGGGTGGGGCTGGGGAAAGATCAAACCAGAGGGTCTGTGTGAACTTCTTAAAGAAGTAAATTCTCCATTTCTCCAGAAATGGAAAATTTCCATTGGGTAAGAGGTCATTAGCTTGTCAAGGATCCATCACGCACACGGCATGCACTTTGAAGTGGTTGTCATCACTCCATAGAGAGTCTCTTGCCGCCAAATTTGCATAATGTGACGGTAATATTTATGTCACACAAGCTCGCTTCTTTGGTGGAATCTCTGGATTTCATGTGGTAATACCTGTAGTCGTGTTATTTAGTCATAAAACGTTTTCCAAACTCTGCTTACCAAAAGCAGTATAAAAACGTAATGTAATGAGATCACACAGGAGGTCTGTTACATTTCCTATCTTTCATGACAAGTTAAAAAACTTGTTTCTTCCATCCTGCAAGGAAGACAAAAAACAAATAACATACAGTAGTCAGAGAATAACAGCTTCATAGCAAACAGAAGTCAGTTGGTTCCGATTTTTCCTCTCATTTGCTTTTTTCCAAGTTAAAATAATCTTGACACTACATACTCCAGCACATGTGGGACACCAGTTGTTGTTTACAGTTGTTGTTTTGTATTTTGATCCTTTCACATGTTGCTTGAGTTAATTCAGGGAGTGAGGGCAGAGGTGATAATGACAAGGTGATGACATGGGGCAGGAGACAAAAAAGCGTCCTTTTTAGTTTAATTTTTATGCCCTCTTCACGGCTTTATGCTCCTGCAACAATATAACATTTTATTGTTTTTTTTTTT